ATAAGGCCTCATATTTACGCCTCAGCTGGCTTGGATCAGGACCCTCTTATACCCTTCCCATGTACCTGGGCGGACAGCTGGGTGCCATCTTTCCCAGTGTTTATTGGTTGAGCTGATCTTCCCCAGGCTGCCTGGAGCTGCACTCATCCCCACCTCTGCCGCCTGAGGAGACAGGATGAGCGGCATGCGCCACCACGCCCAGCTGCACTTGTTTATTTTCTGTTTCTTCCATCTAGGCCTTCAGCCGACTGTACGACTGTACGTACAGTGCTGTGCTTTCGTGCTCCATTCTCTGCAAGCAGCCCTTTAATGATATTCCAGGTGCGCATGGGTCTCTATCACCTCTTACCAAACCCATGTTCTCTCTGAAGTGAGGACTTCATGTTTAGAGATGTGCCTGAGGGGTTTAAGGGTCACCTGCCCAAGGGACCCAGAGAAGGTTCCTGGAGGCTCCAAGGGACACCCTTGGCTTCTCTATTTCCTTTCCTACTTCTTTCGAGTCCCTCCCTTTGCTCCTTCTTTGAGTGCAGATGTCAGCCCTCACTCTGGCCTGTGTCAGCTGTAAGGTAAATGAAATATACTGGGTTTCAAGGTAAATGAAATATACTGGGTTTCATTAGGTAGCTGATGAAGAGAACACCATATAGCATTCAGGAAGGAAAAGAAGTTTATTTACCTAATTGCTGGCCTTCCCCCCCCCCCCCCCCCAGTGGATGGTGGAGAGGTGTGGCCTAAAAGGATCAACTCCCCCTCCCCCCCCCCCCCCCCAGGACTTATCCAGGCCAGGGACTGGAAGAGGTGTGGCCACACTGGATCCAGATATGACCTCAGGGCCTGGGACCCTCCCCTGGTCCAATGGGAGGTGTGGGGTGGGTGGGGGGCTTGGCCCAGGATGTGACCTTAGAGGGAGGTAACTGCTTCCAGGTGTGCCAGTTCCCTAGGTAACAGACTCTGGGTGGAAACTTAACCAAGATGTAGGGAGGCATCTGCACTAGGCCTTCATGGCCCAGGGCAGACCTTCCTTACAGGAACTACTGTGTGCATTTCTGTCCTTTTCCCTCTGGTTGTCCTGCTTGAAACAGCACAACCCAAATTGGACTACAGGCCCAGTCCATTCCATTTCCATTCTGTAGTCAAACCAGCCAGGCCTGAGTCTCATTCTGTTAAGCCCTGGGAGCCTTTGTGATGCTTAGAAATCAGGCACCAAGTGCCCCCGCATTGCTGTCTCCAGCAGCTCAGGTTGCTATCATAGACTGTGGGCTTTAAAACAGTTGATTTTTGTTTCTCCCAGCTGTGGGCATGGGAAGTCCCAGATCAATAGTCCTGGTTTGCAGCCAGCCGCCTTTGGACTATGGTCTTTTCTTGCTTGCTCATGGGTGTGGTGTGTGGTATGTGTGTGTGTGTGTGGGGGGGGGTGAGAGTATACCAGTATCTTTTTTTTTTTTTTTTGTCAGTTGTGGGGCTTGAGCTCAGGGCCTGGGCGCTGTCCTTGAGCTTTTTTTTTTTTTTAAATTGTGAAAATACTGTACAGAGGGATTACAATTACATGGGCAAGATAATGAGTACATTTCTTATCAAGCATTGTAGCCTCCTCCTTTGTTTCCCCTTCCCATCCCATCCTCCCCCCCCCACCAAAGTTGTAAAGTTCGTTTATGACAACTTGTACGTCTCATTGTTGCAATGGGTCCACCTGTATCCCTATTTAAACAACTTGTTTTTTCCCTTCCCCTCCACAAATTATAACAACATCAAATACAGTGAAAGCAGGGGTTATACCATGGGGGAGGGACATACAAAGCAACAAAGAAATAATCTTATAAATGTGTTAGAAACAATCGCATGAAAGAAAAAAAAACATTTGAATACATATCTTAGGGTTCATTTGTCCCTGAGTTTTTTCACTGAAGGCCAGTGCTCTACCACTTGAGCCCACATCTCCATTTCCAGTTTTCTGGTGATTTATTGAAGATAAGAGTCTCAGAGACTGTCCTGTCCGGGCTGGGTTTGAACCATAATCCTCAGATCTCAGCCTGCTGAGTAGCTAGGATTACAGGCAAGAGCCACCAGTGCCTGGCCCAGTGTCTCTTCTTAGAATGACTCAGCCGAACGTTCCCTCCACATGGACCTCTCTCTCATGACCTCATCTAACCCAGATTCTCTTGATTTTAGGGGGAAGGACTTCACCTTCCTCCATTTCTCTGCTTTGGTAACTTGCTGGCTACCCTTCCTGCCGTGGCTCCTCTGGCGAGATCCGCTTCTTCCTCCCCTGCTCCTCTGGGGGGAGGGCCAGACATACCCCAGCCTCTTGCTCAGGGAGCACCTGTGCTTTAGGTGGCAGAGCTGGCCTTCCTTCAGAGTGCCTCCAGTCTGTTACTCTCCACTGATAAAGGCCAGTGGCCAGGTGTGGGGCCCACAAAACAAGGCAGTGGGTGAGCTCTGCTGAGACTAGAGGCAGAGATCCGGGACCCAGCAGGCTCTTGATTCCTCAGCCATCACATTCTTACAAACCAGGGACTGCTACTCTTGAATCTTAGATTGCTTGTGTGTGTGTCTGTGTGAGTGGACATCGATACTGCGACTTGAACTCAAGCCCTCACTCTTGCCTGGCTTTTTCTCTTGAGGTTGGCACTCTACCACTTGAGCCACAGCTCTACTTCCAGTTTTTTGCTGATTGATTGGAGATAAGAGTCTCATGGACTTTTCTGCCTAGGCTGTCTTGAGTGGTGGTCCTCAGATCCTCTGAGTAGCTGGGATTACAAGCATGAGTACCAGCACCCTGCTGGTAGTTAGCATTGCTGAAACCAGGTCAGAGCTTCCCTGCAGTGGTATATGAACAGTTTAATTGGAAGTCTGTCCCCCTCCCCCCTCCCCAACTGCCCCAGTGATACAAAGACTGTTTCATTTTACAAGTGCTGGTTTTGACTATATCTAAACTATACTTTACTATATATAAACTAACTAAAGCTAAACCATATACAGCATGTCATAGTACAGAACTTTAAATTATATGATGCTAGGTAGAAAAGACAAGAGACAACACTTAATCTCTTCCCCAAGTCCTTGCTGACTGATTGGGAAAACAGGGCTAAGAGAAATGAAATACAGAAATTCCCCAGCCAGTGAGAATCAACTCATCCATCCAGTATATAAACCCTGAGACCTGGGACCACAGTGATTCAGGAAGGCTCTTTGGAAGAAGTGACTTTTGTCCTAAGGGAAAAGGCAAGTGGAACAAAGGCTAATCTGCTTTCATCTAACGCCCACCCTGTTTTTGAAGCCTAACATCTTACCTTACTCAGAAACTGGAGGCTGCCAGCCTCTCCCTGGGTTCCCACCCCACCCTTGCACCTGCAGGGGGAGGGGCTGCGCCTGTGCGCATCTGAAGCTCCAGCTGAGCTGCCCCAGAGAGTCAGAGGTCTTCTGGGCATCACAAAGTCCTGCTTGGGGATGGGGTGGGGGGGCCTCGGCCCTCCTCTGCCGGGGAATCTCTGCTTCGCCTGGGGCAAGCGCAAAGGACAGTTTGGCTCATCATTTTCTTCTTCTTTCTTTTTTTTTTTTGGGGGGGGGGTCCGGTCGTGGGGCCTGAACTCTGGGCCTGGGCGCTGTCCCTCAGCTCTTCAGCTCAAGGCGAGTGCTCTACCACTTGAGCCACAGCACCACTTCCGGTTTTTTGTTTTCTGCTTATGTGGTGCTGAGGAATCGAACCCAGGGCCTCATGCATGCAAGGCAAGCGCTCTACCACTGAGCCACCTTCCCAGCCCCTCATCATTTTCTTTTCTTTGGTCAGTCTTGAACTCTGGGCCTGCACGCGTCCCTCAGCCCTTCAGCTCAAGACAAGCACTCTACCACTTGAGCCACAGCACCACTTCCAGTTTTCCGGTGAAGAGTCCCACAGCCTTTCCTGCCTGGGCTGGCTTTGATCCGCGATCCTCAGATCTCAGCCTCCTGAGTAGCTAGGATGACAGGCGTGAACCATCATTTTCTTGTCCTCTGTGGAGCCCAGCCAGGCGCGGGAGAGAAGCGGGGTGCCTGGTGGAGTGGGGGTGGGGGTGGTGATGGTGGAAAGACGCTGGCAAAGGACTCTGGGGAAGGAAACAAACTTCCACACCCACCCAAGGGTGACCCGGGACAGGCCCGCCAGACCCGCACCGGAGGGCAGCCCGGGGCCCAGCTGCCGGCCGGGGAGGTGCGGGTCCCAGGCGGGTGATCTGTGGTTGGGTGACTGAGGCCCACGTCACGGGGGTCGGGGCTCCTGTCCACAGTGCGCAGGTCCCCGACACGCGTGTCCTGGGGCCCCCAGGGCAGGGCGGCGTTTTCCGACCCGGAGTTCCCACCCGCGCTCCGGGCACTCACCACGAACTCAGCCCTCACCGTGGCCGCCTCGCGGGCAGGGAAACGGAGGCACGGAATGGGAACGGGCCGTCCGGGGAGGCGAGCGCCCGGCTCCGGAGAGGGCCGAGGGAGGTGGCGCCGGGCGGGGCGCGGGGCAGGCGGGAGGGGCCGGTGGTTTCCAGCCGGGCCGGGCCCCCGGGGCGCGGGGCTGCCCATATAAGGCTGCGGGGCTTCCAGGAAGGTTCCCGGCTCACCACGGCCCCCGCCCGCGGCCGCAGCCTCCTCCGCGGCGGGGAACGTGTGGAATCTCCCCGCGGGCTGCGGCCTCAGCGGCCCCCGGCCCGGGGCGCGAGGGGCGCACGTCCTGCCCCGGCCCGGGCCGCGTCGGCGCGGGGCGCGCGCGGCTGCCTGGCCGCTGGGGGGAGCGCGGCGCCGGGGCAGCGCGCGGGGCCGGGCCGGGGCGGCGGCGCGCCCTCACCTGCCGGGGGTGGCGCGGCGCGGCCGGGCGGAGGAGGGGGAGGAGGGGAGGGAGGAGGAAGAAGGCGGAGGGGAGGGCGGCCGGCGGCGGGAGGAGCCCGTGGAGCGGGAGCGGCGGCGCGAAGTGAAACTCCGGGAACTTGAGGGCGGCGAGGAGCGGCGGCGGGCTGCGCGCCCGGCGCCCGGCGCCCATGGCCCTGAGCAAGGGGCTGCGGCTGCTGGGGCGGCTGGAGCCGGCGGGCGGGAGCAGCGTCCTGCTGGAGGCGCGCGGCCGCGGCGACGCTCTGCTCTTCGAGGCGGGCACGGTGGCCACGCTGGGTGAGTACCGCGTCCCCGGCGGGGACCCCCCACCCCGACCCCGGCGGAGCCCACGGCCCCTGCCGTCGCGGGGCCCTCCCCTCTCGAGGGGCGCCGTCGGGGGCCGCGCGGGAACCCCCGGGGCGAGGGTGGTCCGGTTTGCGCCCCGAGGCCGGCCCGGTGGGCGCAGGGCGTTGGGGAAGCCGCTCCTCGGGGTTCCCGCCCTACCCCAGCCCCCGGGGTCCGTTCTTGGGGAGCCCACAGCGCGGGGCTTCCACACCTGGCGCTCCCCGGCGCCCTGTCTGTCGCCCGCCGTCCCCGGAGCCGCCGCTGCTTGGTGGCCGGCTGTGCCCGCGCACCTGTTGGCGAAGGCAGGGCCGGTTCTGGGCGTCTGGCTGGCTCCCCCGGCGCAGGGTGGCGCCCGGGCACCCGAGCGGACTCGGGGAACCGGTCTGTGACACCTCGGGGTGAGAGGCATCAAGCTGTGTCGCCAGACCCTGGACGAGGATCCGCCAGCCGGGTGGGTGTGGCACCGTGGGCTTTGGGCGCCCAGGCGCTCGCCGGTGAGTTAGGGACTTTGGAGGGGCAATCGTTGCCACTTTGCACAGTTTTACGGATGCCCTGTTTTATCCCCATTTCACAGACGAACAAACAGAGGCCGGAAGAGGCTGTTGCCCAAGGCAGACAGTCCACCTGACGTCTGTGTGGCTCTTTGGGTAATGTCAGACCACGCATGGCTGCCTGGTCTGCCATCGAGGAAGACATATATACGTGGGGAAGTAGTCTTGTGGCTGACTTTTATGCCGCAGGTCCAGCTGGCGCCAAAGGAGTGGCACCTGGGAGGATTGCTAGAATGTTAACCAGGAACCCTGGAGAGCAGGCTTAGAGCAGTGGGTGTCCAGCGGTGCCCTCTTCCTGGTGTTCTTAGAGAACAGAATGCAGAGCATGGTCCGATCCCTTGTGTTTTAGGTGGCACTTGCTTGCACAAATCTTTGTAAGCATCTCTGGTCTCTGTTTTCGCACTGGTGTGCATTGACTTCAGTTAAGGTCTGCACATATGTATGCCTATCTTTGAAAGAACTATTTCTGATTCCCATTGACTCCTGATGTATCTATATAGGGAGATATGGTGCTGCATGCCTGTAGTCCTAGCTATTCAGAAAGCTGAGGTGGGAGGATTGCTTAAACCCAACCACGAGTAGACTATATCTCAAAACAAACTCAAACATAAAACAACAACAAAAACACAAACCCTAAAAACAAAACCCAACTATAGTGGTCTGGCTTGCTTTCAGTCACTGGATTTACTGAAACAATGTCTCCTGTATTCTCAGCATCAAAATGTGAAGCAAATGATGGATTAAATCATTACCAGATTATTCCAGCTGGGTTCTGTGCTAAAAAGTCCAAGTTTGGTCATTTGTTATGGCCTTGAAGGGGGAAAAAAATTCACAGAAATTTCCATTCCATTTTAGGTGTCTACTTTATACCCTGTTTATCAGAATGAAGAGATTAATTTCATGGCACAAAAGTACTTTTTCATCAGAGAGATTAAAATGCCCTTCTGTTGGATGGCAGTGATGTTAAGCAAAATTGATACACATGTAAGAGTTCTTTTGAAGCCACTTGGAACAGCATACTTCACTTTTTTTCAAAAATGAGGATTTAAAAATGATTAACAGAAGTTGAGTGCTGGTGGCTCATGCCTATAATCCTAGTTACTCAGAAGGCTGAGATCTGAGGAAAACAGTTCAAAGCCAGCCCAGGCAGGAAAGTCCATGAGTCTCTTATCTCCAATTAGCCGCCAGAAAACTGGAAGTGGCACTGTAGCTCAGGTGATAGAGCGCTCGCCTTGAGCTGAAGAGCTCAGGGACAGCGCCAGGGCTTAGTTCAAGTTCCATGACCAACAAATCCCCCCCCCAAAAAAAGATTAATAGAAGTCGTATAATGCATCTGTTCCATTAGGAAATGGAGTTTGGGCCCAGATGCTTTTACATTGCATTGTGGTACAGTCCATAGGATCTTATACCAGGAGGCATTGAAAGGTGTGGGCAAGCCCAGGACCGCGCGCCCCCCCCCCCATTCACCTTTGTCCCTACTATTTGTTTTTTCAGTAGACCTCTGCCTGAAAAGTCTTGTTTTCCTTCATTAAATGAAATGGATCCATACTTAGAAAGAAACTGTAGCATTTAATGATGTTGGTCCTCCAAAGATGATAAGAGCAGAGCCTTCTGTTACTAGAAAGTTACTGGCTCAAACTTTAAAAACATCCTCCTCTATCATTGTTGGGTAGTGTGGCTCTTGAAATTCTCTAGTTCTCAGGGCCCAGGTAGCTATGATGTGTTCTTTTCCTTGACGAGGTGAAGAGTGCTTTCCCTTTTTCACAGGAAGCTTGTATTCTCTCCTTTGGTTGGCCCGCCCATACCCTGTGTCTGCCGAACCCGTCCTTTCCCTTTTTTCTAGAGGCCAGTGGGTGGGGTAGTTTCCTTTTCTCTCCCGCCGTGGTTTTCTGTGCCCAGTGTCCCCAGGGTGTGCTGGTAGCCTGGAGATCAGTGGAGTGGACTGGTGCCATGTGGGTTGCGGTCTTTCCCATCCCTGAGTGCTTCTAAAATCTGCCCAGCTGTACTGCAGATGTGTGCTACTGCACCCCTCCCCGCCAAAGGTCCCCTCATCCTCGCAGTCTGTGACACACCTCTCTCACAAAAGGGTTCAGTGCCTCCTTCAAATATTGAGGCAGTGTGTGATGTTAGGGGTCTTGAAGTGGATTGGAGAGTTTAGGAAAAGCCAACGACACGTGATTGACTGATGGCTGGACTCTTCCAGTTCTAACTTGTTCTAACCCATCTTCACCTGTTCTAACCTGTCCTCCTGTTCTAACAGGGAATGTGGCAGGTGATCTCACAGGAGGCTGTCTGGCTTGCCTGCAGGGAGATTACTGAAGGACTCTTTCCAAATTTCTGCTTCTGAGAGCCCGGCCTCCTAAGGCAGAAAAGCGAAAGGTTCTCACCTCAGTTCTAACGGTTGTTCTCTCCTTCACCACGTGACCCAGTGGGAGGAGCTTCTTCAGTGCCCAGCAGAGGCAGCCTCCTACAGCAGCTCATAGTCCAGAATTAGCAGGCAGTGGCTCTCTGCCCCTAGTCCAGTTGTCTCTGCCTGTCTGTTTTAGATTTAGGGTGGACCTGGTGAGAGACAATAGGAGTTCATCTGTTTAGTGTGAGTACCAGTGCTCCAGAGTTAGGGTTCTCCACACAACCCCCAGTTGGGGTGGCTGCTGAGTGTTGGTATGTGGACTCAGGCGAGTGTGTGTGTGTGTGTGTGTGTGTGTGTGTGTGTAGACTCACTTGTTTGTCAGGTCCTGCCTCTTCCTCCCCTGGCCTTGCTGGAGTGGGTCGGAAGGGATGGGGACTCAGGCTGAGACTTCATTTGGATGTCCCTAAATTTCTTTGGGCTTCTGGGAGAAAAGTCTGGGCCCTTCTGCAGCACCAGCCCTAAGCCAGGGCAAAAGAGGGCCGGGACTGTGCGCCTAGCCTTTAAAGGTGTTTGCCCTTCCCCACCATGAGACAGCACCCCAGGGGCTTGCTGTGCTGATGACCCAGTTTGCTTCCTGCTGCGGAGGGACCTTCTCCCTGGCTGGGCGGTGTGCTGTCCATCCCAGGCCAGACTGGGCCCAGGCTAGCCGGGCATCTCCTGCTCTGAAGGTTGGCAGTTGGGAAGTCACTTGAAGATTAGGGACCTGGCCAAGGTGACTCTCCCTGCTGGCCACCTTCTAGACCTGGCTTCCAGTTAGTTATGGGGTGATTTTTTTTTCAAGGTAGGAGGAGAGATGTATTATATTCAAGCTTTTTGTGACTGGAAACATAAGAGTTCAACATGTGGGGTGGGGGTCTGCTGACTCTCTCTGTAGGCCAGGTAGTTAACAGACACTAGCATGGCGTGCATCGGGCTTGCAACAGTCTGTCTGTTTGGAGCATCCCTTGGGTGCCCAGGTTTCTCTGTGTGGTTTTTGCTGCTCAGTTGCTGTGATCCTGCTGCCTGAGGATGGAGACTATCCGCTGTTCCCACTGGTCCACTTGAACTGTGAGCTCTGGATGAGCTGGCCCGTGCTCCAGTTTGAGTATGAGATTGAGGTCTGGAAGCATTTCTGGGGGAGAGCTGCTTGCGAGGAGGCTATTCCAGCTTGAGACACACATGTTTGCCTCTGGCTAGGCTGAGCATTTAAAACCCAAGCCCCCTGAGCCACCGACCTTGCTGTCCGTGCACTGAGGTCAGTCTGAGTCCCCTTCAATACAGAACAGAGCAGTCAGGGCACTTCCTGTTTCCAGGGCCCCACTGGAAGTGGCTTTCTCCTACTGTTCATGAACGTGTGAGTCATTCTCTCAGAAACGTCAGCACAGAGGATGGAAACCATTGAAAATACACATGTCCTCCACTCAGCATTCTACCTATTCTCCGATCAGGCTGGCCAAGTGGCAGAGGGCCCTGAGTTCAAACTACGGTACCACCACCAAGAGAAGGCAATATTCTTAGACCATGATTCCCCACTTCTGCTTCAAGGATGTTGGTTGTAAGCCACTTTGAAATTTTTACTGGTTAAATAATCTTGAGTTGAACTTGATAGAGGCTAATACTTAATTACCATGCACCAGATGCTATTCTAAGTGGTTTACATATATACATTTATTCAATCTTCACAACAAAGCAGGTGTTAATAACCTTCATTTTACACCTGGGGAAACTGAGGTATAGGAGGCATGAAAACGTGCCTAGGTTCTACCTGTAGTTATTGGCAGAGCCATGGTTTGAGTCAGGCTCCAAGGCTCTTCCAGAGAACAGTGTGGTCAGTAAGGCCTTTTTCTAAGCAGACAAGGAAATGAAGACCTGTGTGGAAAAACTCATTTTGCTCCATTGTCCCAAAACTCATGTCCTCGAAGTTGCGGCTTGCCGGAGAGTGCCGCGTGGTGGCTCAGTTGCTGCGTTGGGATGGGTGTACGGTGCCTCTGGCATGCTTTTTCATAGAGGAA